CTTTCTATTTTAATAGCTATCTAACTAAAATATTAAATCTACAAATAATATATACAATTACAAATACACAATTGATTTATAAAACAGTTGTAGAAATAGATAGCCATGGGGGAGAGTTATAAGTGCCTTAATTAACATTTTGAAAAAATTAGATATAGCTATTAAAAATGCGATGGCCTAAAATTTTACAAAAAATATAACGGGCCGGGACGGACTTTTCGTAAAATTTTAATAGGCCCTGGCATGTGCAAAAATTAACGAGCGAACCGAAACTGGTCGAGCTCTGCAGATTTCTAATCTACATAGATAAAAACGACAAAAATAGTTTATAATTAAACTACACAATAAAAATAATAGTTAACAATTGTAAAATAATATTGTGATTTGATTTTGGGTAAAATGATTATCTCTTTATTAAGGTTTAATTGTTGGCAGGTTAGATTATAGTTTTGCATAACCAATAATTCGACCTCGGATGTTGTGAGAAGGAGTCTGTTACACTCCTTTTTCCAATCAGTCTTCACCTAAAAATACACTCACATGAAGCATAGAAAAGTAAAGAAAAAATATCTTGATACATTTTTTCAAGATAGAGGCTATCGTTTTCATTGAGAAATCACGCCAATTTTTCCTACGCTTTCAAATCTCTAATTTTTATATGTTTGGAATCGTAAAAATTTGATAACAGCTATTCCTTGAAATATTATCTTAATCGATTTTAAAAGCTTTTATTTATTTAAAAACCCATCAAATTAAGTTTATTGGTGTTACAATATTTCGCCATAAATGGGATCTTTGAAATCATATTTTAATACCAAGTGTACTCAAATTTCTTTTCTTTAAATATCTGCTTCATATAAAAAAAAGGAAATTAGTATTACTTATTATTGTAGGGTTAATTTCAAAAGAAGCATCAGATTGGGGGATTATGAGCATCATTTATGCTTAGGGCATGGACTTCAAAATTTAGTTACAGTTGATGGCATAAAAAAAGCCGCCAGGATTAATATTCTGATTAAAAAAGATAGAGAAATCATTTCAGCCCTCAGATATCGAGTAGATGTTTTGGAATGTGAAATTGAGGATATTATATTTTAAACGTAATTAGCGACACTACTTAATCCGAGATTTGAAAATCTTATAAAATTTTCAGAATATGTAAATTCGAATTCTACCAATCATTGCAATTTTTAATTGGCATTTAAAAATTTTAGAGTATGATAAAATAAACGCACAGGGTGAGATACAAGTTGAAGATAATGTGCAAACATCGTTCATATATGGCTAAAATATCTATTAAACTTCTCTTCCAAGTAACGATTATAACAACATAGCAATATAGAAGAAGAATGCCATTTTGGTCAGCCAACATAATATTCCAGAAGAGGATGTACTAACTTTTTTGGGTGACTGAAACTTCCTATGCTTTCTAATTTAGATAGGGTTCTTTGTATACATGCAACCGGTACACCCAGGTGAATAATTTTTTCCATCACTGGATTAATACTCAATGTAAAAACACTAATCTTGATAAAATACTATTTATTCATGACAATTAATAATTTTACTAAATCTGATTTCTAATGCAATTTCTTTCTTTATATTTTTGCTTGGATTTCAAATTTATATTTTAATTTGTTTTAATAAAAATCAATAGAACATTACAAATAAATATGTGTTGTTTATATGACTCTGATCGTAAAAATGCAATTCCTTTGTTTATTTCTGAGAATAAGAAAATACATAAATTTAAATAGGAGAGAGACAGAAATTTTTTAAATAAATAGCACTTCACGACCACCACTTATTTATTAGGTGGCGGCGAAATCGGCGCGCCGCCAATCCCCGATAAAAAATTTTAAAAGACGCCATGAATTGAGGCTTCGGCGCACAGGTCTACCCTTAATATCATAAAAGTATACTAGTAGGCTGACATTTTTCTCAAATATGTACACTAACTTTAGTCTGTTTTCGTAAAAATCGAAAGAGGTCTGCCCAGTCATTAACGATTTGACATGGAATGACCCACCTATATGTGGAAGCAATTATTTTTGAAAACTTTCCCCCTTTTCAAATTAAATAGATTATTAAAATTTGGAGGTGTTTTGGTCCGGGCCTTTATGTCCTAGACACTTCTGGCCGACTCCAAACCACCTTACCCTCCTCTAGATTCTCTATTAAATTTTTTATTTTAAAGAATAATGATCATTTTTTGGGGTTGAGGGTTGGTCTAGTTTGTTAGAAACAGATTTAAAATATACACAACATGTTTTATTTAATTAACTTAAACTAAATTGAATTAAAACCATATTCTTATTTTTTTGAACCATTAAATCGTAGGTGGAATCATTTCTTACAAGACCCGTTATTTTTTTATAGTTATAACGGTAGGTTTACTCGTTTTAAAATTTGGCAATGATAATGCACTACTTGATCAAATCGCAAATTTTTTAAAAAATATATTTATCTTAAAAAAATTTCTTTGGGCAAAATCAAGTGATCGCCGTTCTAGATTTTTGGATGATAATATAGAAAAGATTTTATTATTTAAAAAGAAAAGTATTCATTTCAATTAGAGTTGAAAAATGGTAACGATATCATGCTATTTTTTGAAAAAAAATAGTGACACCCGTTAATTATTTGAAAAAGAATAGCGATAACGCAATATTTACTTTTAAAAGTAGCGTTTAATAAAATTGTCAGGTGTAGTACCATACCAAAGATTCCAACCTGTAAGCCGATATTAACTCTTTTAACAGAACCTAACTAACCATTTAAAATTTTGTCATCCGAACCTGAACCAACCCTTTAAAAAGGTTTGTTTGTGAATTGTGTATCGTTTTGAACCTTTCGTGATATCCTATTTTTTAAAAAATTATTAATTATTATTTTCAGAGTTGTTAAAAGATACTTTTTAAATGGATTAGATATAGGTACAAATTACATGGTCTAAAAAGTTATCTACGTATAGATAACTTTTTAAAAATGTTTCTAGATACATATACAATTTTTTTAAATACTCTTATATAAGGTTTGCATAAACCTAAATTAGGATTATATTGTAAAAATTCATGAAATGAGCTAAAAAATTTATTGACTCGATATCACATTTATCAAAATATAACTAAAATAATGATTTTTAGATTTTAATATAATATATGAAAATATATGATTAAATGATTATAAATAATTATTAGATTTCAGTAATAAAATATTTTCAAAATTTTGGTAATTAAGGCATCCTCGTTTATCTGTAAAGACATTTTAACTACACTAAAAAAAGTCTTTCTAGCTGGGCGCTTGAAGGGATTGTGGTGTTATATTTTATGAATAATAATTTTATATCAGGATATTTTTTAAAAATACTAAAATCTTGACATTTCATTTTTGAAATTTTTTTTTAAAATTTGTTATCAAAATTTAAATCATTATTAACAATCTCTGCTACTGTGGGGTACTGGAAAAAAATCGAATATTAAATTATTTGTTTTTTTCTTATATTTGTTTGCAATCAGTTTAAGACTTTGATAATTCATCAACTAATCTTTGTATTAATTGTTTTTTTATAGTAAAATTAATATCCATTTGTAACAAAAAAGGATGGAGCATAGTTACTATAATATTTTCATCCTCAAATATTGTCCCATTAAACCTTGAATTATTAAATATAGATTAATTTTCCTATCGTCTATAGACATCTAGGAGTTGTAAACAAAATCTCATGTTCATTTGTTTAAAATTTTTCAATTTGATAATTAGCTGTGAAATGGTTGCACAGTAATAAGCTGTGTACATATATTTATCTCCCTGCAAAATATCAAGAGAACTAGCTACTGGCTTCAATAGGTAATTTAAAATAATGTTATAAAATTTTATTTATAACTTACTAAATAATATTCATGAATAAAATCACATTATATATATATTTTATTATTGTATTCTTACTTAATATTTTTTAATATAATATATTTAAATTATATGCTCATATGAAATAAAATTTGCATTCAAGTATTTTTATTTATAATATAAAAAGAGTTAAATAAAAGTATATCAAAATGTATCTTAAAAGTATCTACAAACAGATACAGATACCTCTAAAATAATATCTAGATACAGATACAGATATTTAAAATCTATCTAGATACAGATATCGCATTTTTATATCTAGATACATTAACCATTGATGATTTTGATTGTATGTATCAATATTTGCATATTTTTGTATATTGTTTTTGACGGTTTCAGCTACCCAAGTTGGCATATAGACGATGTGTTCTCAACCATAGAATTTATTCAATTTCTTCCTTATAGATGTTGTGACAGAAGAGAATTTTGACAATGTTTTAATTGTATTCGGCTTTATATTATTTTTTGGGGAATAGTGATACATTTTTTTATAAAAATGTGCTTCTTCTTAACATATTTATAAGCTTATATGCTAAAATATACGAACTGGTTTTTAAAAGTTTACCCAACCCTGTTTTTTATATACCATACTTGTATGAAGGTTATTTTTATCTGAACCTAACCAATATTCGTTACTCTTCGGATCCTTGATCAAACTAAAATTACTACATTATAAAATAACATTATATTGCATTGTATCACTTATAACTTTGACAAATTGTCCTTCGAAAAAAATATTCATATATTTATTACAAATAATTTGACACCTAGCATTCGCTTTTAGGGGAAAAAAATTAGATGGATTTACACATTTTTTTGTTAGCGAAAAGCTATGACACGAAACACACTTTGAAAAGGAATTTAGTTTAATTGCAAAATGTTCTTCCCATTTAGATAGCTCAGGGTTAAACGGATAAATTTTATTATTTTTTATGATGATTATACTTGAAATTATTATCTATCATTTTTCCATTATATTTATTTTTTTACTATTTGCGAACAAATTTTTTATGTTATAACCGTTAGAATAACGATAACAATACCGTATCTAATAATGTAAAAAAAACTTTTAAAATTTAAATAATGCATTCCAGGAGAGAATGGTTGCCAAAGATCCTCCAAGCTTTTATCTGGAAAAATTATCCGCCTTCATGGATCCCAAAGCGAGCAAAATTCTTAAAGTAATTTTGTTATATATTTTTTATATTTTAATTTGCTAATATGCTAAAGAATTAGGGTTGAATATTTTACGATCTCTATTACATTTTCTCCCCAAAAGTGACATTTACAATATTTTTATCACCGATTTTAATTTCCATGATAAATCAATCACTTGTTTGCATTGGTTTTACTTATAATATGCTCAAAAATATACTACGCCATCAAGTATAAAATATTTTTTGCCTGCTGGGCTTCCCTTTTAAGGTTTCTGTAATTATTTTAAATATCTCTATTTTTTCCTTTTATTTAATCGAAAATATACTACTGTATGAAAATTTGTAGAAACGTAAAAACCAACCCTGCCCATCGTCAACTCAAGTTTTAAGGGACTTGGAAATATCTTTAAGGACAAACAATATCGAGTAACAACACAAACATTTGAACAAATTATGAAATTTAATTATTTTTCCCTTTTTTTAGATGGGTTAGAGAATTTTTAAATCAGCAAAACAGCGGATTAGATATCTTAATTCAATATTTGGGGCTAGCCAATTCGGAATTACAAAAGTATTTTTTTTAAATAAAATTTCATTACGTTATATTTTAATATGTTAAAGTAATGCCCTACATATGTGTATTGATATAATTATATCTATATACATTTTTAGACATTTCATACGCAACCCTTATTATATTATAAGTATATCACTCTACTTTTTATAATAAACAAAGCAGCATCTACCTTTCTTAATATAATATTTTTGAGCGTTTCATCTCTTTAAAAAGTCTGCAATAAAAAAAAATATTTTGATATTATTGTTAGCTATTTGATTTCTTTAGCCTTGACACTTGAAATATTTTTACATATATATATATATATATTACTCAAGAACGTTAACATCCCATCATCAATCCAACAACCAAAATCAATACTTTGACACTCATTACGGTCATCTCTATAGAAATATGCCCCGTTATACTCCACCAATCGACTCTACTATTAATAATTCACCTTATCTTAATGGAGTCAGCTCAAACAAATCCAGCAATTCTGAAAAATCTAGCCCTAATCATGCGCAAAACGGGTTTACCCCACATCATTCGTCACCCGAAATTGAGGGCAACTTACCCGAGAATAATAGAAATTCTCACAATTCTGTCAGAAAAAGTCATCACAGCAGCGGTAGTGGAAAAGATTCCAAACTTAACTGGTATATAACATAACTCTGACCAAATTGCAAAATATTTTAAACCAAAAAATATTATTTTCCTTTCAATTTTTAATATTTTTTAATCTATATATTATTCGCTTATTATTTATATTTACTCCTATGATATCGAACATACTGTCCGATTTCATAATCGAGATTAATTCTTCGAAATACTTTTAAAGTGTATTTTTTAAAAAACCTTGACCTCCTTAATGATAATACTATACAACTTTTAACAAATTGCACTAATTCAAATATAGCAACGTCGATTCAATTTCGAATTGCAACCATCACTCTAACCACAGTTCATCCGTTTCACCCTTAAACGCCATCATAAGCTCCCTCGTCAATCTAACTTCTTCTAATTCGAACAACACATTGCCTCCCCACCATTCTAATCAGTGCACCCTTTTCAGTGAAGATCCCTCCAACGATGTGCACCTTTGCATTATGTGCCTTCGTGCTTTGATGAATAATAAAGTTTGGCTAAAAGATTTAATGGATAATAATTAAAGGAAGAAAAAAAAGAAAGAGAGATGGAATAAAAGAATACAAAATGCTATCTAAAAATATCTTAAAAATAATTGTTAGTTTTTTATAGCATGTTTAAATTACTTATTTGGGATCAATAAAAGGTAAGGATCGTATGGCATTTATCTGTTAACAATTTTTAATCTAATCTATTTTATATTTATAATTTTTTTTTTAAATAATCAATAAATAGTTTTGGAAATTTGCATAAGATTTAATATTAATTTAATAATATTTTTTTTAAATAATTATTCCCTAACCCGCTCAAGTATGGTTTCAATCAAGTCATCAGCCATAAAGAGGCCATAAATTACATCGCTTTGAGCTTAATGCATAAAAACTACAGGTTTCAATCTATCTTGCTTAATCTTAAATTTTATGTTTAATGTTTTAGCGATATTTTAATACGAGGCGGATAATATAAATGGGGTGAAATAGATTTTACCAATTTATAAAAAAATATATTCCTCATATACGAGATTAATTCTTAAACATTTTGTTAAATTTAAAGCTAATTTTTTTTTATCGATATTCGTGAATTTTATCTTCAAGATAGGTATTATAAGATATTGCCAAATTTTTTTGACGAAAATGTTTTAAAGCCAATCAGCAAAGCATCTAATCTAAGTTAGTACAATATTTATTATTTTTTTGCAATCCTAAATATAGAACCAAGGCACAAGTTTTGGAATTGTTAGCTGCCGTATGCTTAGTCAAAGGTGGTCACGATATTATACTGGCGGCTTTCGATTATTTTAAAGAGGTATATTATTTATCAGAGACCTGCATAATGCACAGTTTGAAAAAAAAAACTTCCAAATACAAATTTGCCCAACCCGATTTTTTTTTTGGCTGGCACAGGTCGTTTTATTTTTATGATTGACCCGTATTGATAATTTTGTAAATTCGAGGGAAAATCGAAAGATATAAAACAACAAATGAATAAATATTATTGTATGATTTTCCAAGATATAATTTCATTTTATATTTAGAAAAGTTAATTCCATTCCCCCTCCCTTTTATTATTTTTTTAAAATGTATTAATATTCTTCACAGTTCGTTAGTTATAATAATATTTTTTACATTTTTTAAATCAGGTTAGCAAAGAACAGCACAGGTTTCAGACTCTAATGCATTACTTCAAAAACTACACGGGGGATTTCAACGTAGATTTTATGGTCGCGTGTATGCAATTCATAAATATCGTGGTTCATTCCGTAGAAAATATGAATTACAGAGTAGCTCTTCAATTCGCCTTCACCAAAATTGGTCTCGATGATTATTTGGAAGTATGGCAGAATTTATATTTTTTTTAATATATATTTTTCTTCTTCTCCGTTTTATGGCGATTTCCAGGTTTACCCGGGTAGGCCAGTTTTCCCTCTGATTTTTCTTTTCCATTTTTGACGGTCCTGAGCATCAATACTTGTAAGATTCAAGCTTCTCATATCCGCCGCTATCACATTTGTCCACGTCATCTTGGGTCTTCCTCTAGGTCTTGATCCTCCTACTTCCATCATTGTGCATCTCTTTACCCAGTCATCTCTTGTCATACGTTCCACATGCCCAAACCATCTTAGTCTATTTCGTCGCATTACCATACCAATCATTTCTATACCTAATCTTGCTCGCAATTCCTTGCTAGTTTTTCTCTCTCTCAGAGATACCCCACACATCCATCTAACCATCCTCATCTCTGTTCTTTCTAATTTGGCTTCGTGAATTGCTTTCATTGCCCATGTTTCACCGCCATAAACTAAACAACTCCTCACGCAGCTTACGTAAACTTTCCCCTTTAACTTCAGAGAAACTTTTTTATTTGTAAGAATAGATGACATCTCTCTGAACTTCTTCCAAGCTTGTCTGATCCTTGCAACAACAGCAGAATCTACACCACCATCTGCGTTTAGCATATCACCTAAATAACAAAACTTATCCACTTTTTCTAGGGTTAACCCATTGCCAATATCCAGACCACCATTTTTTAGGTTATCATTATTATGTATCCCTTTCATGCATGTTTTACAAATAAAGGTCATTCTTTCTAACATCAAACTGCCTTTTTTCCCACTACATCTTTTATGTACCCATTTCTGGCATCTGGTGCATTGGATAGAATTTCTAGCAACTCCTTTCCCACATACACCACAAGGCCACTTACCTGATTCTTCTATCTTTAGATTTTCCCCACCAATCATCACCTTTGTTTTTGATGCATTCATTTTCAGGCCCTTTGCTTCCATAGTCATCTTCCATTTACTAACTTTATCCCTCAATTCTCCCTCACTGTTTGCCATTAATACAAGGTCATCTGCATATAATATCTCCCAGGGAAGTCCTTCACGCATTTCTCTAGCCACCACATCCATTACTAAGATAAATAATAATGGACTCAGCACGGATCCTTGATGAAGTCCTACCTTCACCTCAAAGCTGTCACTATCACCATGATCCGTCCGTACTGCTGTTTGTGCTCCAACATACATTGCCATCACTGCGGTAACTAACCATTCCTCCACACCGGATTTTCTCAAGGCCCATCTTGTAATCTCACGCGGCACCCTATCAAATGCTTTCTCCAAATCAACAAACGCATAATAGAGTTTCTTTTCCTTCGCAAGATACTTCTCCTGAATTTGTCTCACCACAAAAATTGCATCTGTCGTGCCTTTTCCCGATGTAAAACCAAACTGCATTTCATCAATTTTGATTTGTTCCCTTATCCGCTTTTCTAACACTCTCTCAAATACTTTCATTGCATGTTCCAAGAGTTTAATAGCTCTGTAAGACCCACAATCTAAAGGATCACCTTTCCCCTTGTATACTGGGATAATTATACTTCTTCGCCAGTCCTCGGGAATAGTACCTTCTGTGACAATCTGATTTGCTAAATTCATTAACCATTCAATCCCTAAATCATCAGAACCTTTAAACATCTCTGATACCACCATCGTTAAACCCGATGCCTTCCCTTTCTTCATCTTTTTCACTGCTCTCCTTATCTCGTCCTTGCCAAATTTACACCCTGGACCTTCTACCTTTGCACAACTAATATTATTATTCCATTCATTTTCTTCATTCAAAAGTCCTTTCATGTAAATCTTCCAGGTGTTCTTAATACCACTACTATCAATCGTCATTTTTCCTTCCATATTTTTCAAACACTTTACACCTATCACATCCTGCCTCTTTTTTGACATCTGTTTTGCCATTCTAACCATATTTCCAATTCCATCAGCGCATTTCATTTCTTTAGCAAACTCGTGTCTTTTTTTTCTTGATCCTTCGCTAATTTCTTAGCATTTCTTTTAGCCATCTTGTAAATATCATTATCACTATTTTCTTTGCTATTATACCATACTTTGAAACACCTCCGTTTCTCATCCACGGCTTTCGCTACCTCTGGGCTCCACCACCAAGTCTCCTTATGTCTAGGCGGCCCTTTTGTCCATCCACATACCTCCTCAGTTGTCATTACCCAAGCTTTCTTCATGGCTTCCCACTTGTCATTCACCCCAGATGCTTGTGCCACCTCCGCCTCCCTAATCGCTAATGCCATATTGAATTGACGTCTAGCATTCTCCTCCTTCAATTTCCAAACCTTCAGCCTTGGGACAAACTTTCTTTTAGTGACCCTGGCACCTTTAAGAGTGAGATCTCTTACAACTAGTCGATGCTGATTTATACATTCCTCTCCCGGTATCACTTTCACATTTTTTATTATACATCGATCACATCTCCTTAATAACAAGTAATCCACAACACTTTTGGTACTACCCGACTTATAAGTCACCAGCTTCTCTGATTCTTTCTTAAACATTGTATTACAAACAATCATATCCATAGCATCACTAAATTCTAAAATCCTCTCTCCTTCCAAATTTCTCATGCCGTAACTGAACCCTCCATGTACTCCTTCATAACCCTCACTACTCGCTCCCACATGTCCATTCAGATCGCCAGCCAGGATAATCCCCTCTTCATTTGCCAGTCTCGATGTCACCCCCAATAGACTGTCCCAAAATACATCTTTCTCTTCTTCACTTCTTCCAACCTGAGGAACATATGCCGAGATCATATTATATAGCTTTCTACCAATAATCATCTTGATAACCATTATCTGGTTGTCTAGCCTTCTCACTTCGACTACTTTGTCTACCAATTTCTCCGCAACCAATACCCCAACTCCAGCCTTACCATCATTACCTCCTTGCCAAAAGAATTTATACTTTTCGCTAGTCTTGCCAATCATTCTGGTCCCATTTCCTTTCCATCTAGTCTCCTGTATGCAGCACACATCTATATGTCTTCTGTGCAATACATCGACGACTTCTCCCGCTCTTCCCGTCATACTCCCAACATTCCATGTCGCGACCCTAACTCGATCACCCGTAAACTGGTTTCTCCACTTTTTATTAGGTCGTTTATGGCCGTCATAGGTTTCATTTTCATGAATAGTGGTTCCACCGGGTTTCCCATCCTTCTTTTTGTCGTAGGCGGATGAGGAGGCCCACGGGGTACTTTGGACTGTACCCCGCCCATGCTTTGTTAGGGAAATTTCTGTAGCATGGTTTTTACAATCGGATGCCCTTCCTGACATCAACCTCTTTAAGTGGTTTTTACACCCCGTCGAGGAGACGGTGATCCTATTCTAGACCCAGATCACAGGGAACCTTTTAGACCTCCATTTGCCGCCAAAAGACGTTGCCACTCTCCCGCCACGATGAGGCTGAAGGTAGGATTTTGGGAGAGATTTTTTTTTTTTAATATATATATTTTTCCTCTATTTTTTCTAACTTTTTTGAAATATTATAATCGCAAAAGAAATTGAAGCATACGGAAAGCGACCAGTTACAAGTGCAAATATCCGCTTACCTCGATAACGTGTGCGATGTTAGTGTGCTGATGCAGGAAGCCGAAATCAAAAATTCTGCGCTCGAACAAGTGGCGGATCTTCAAGAACAGCTAGAAAATGTACAAGATAATATATTTTTTTAATTTAGCAAAACTAATATTAGGATTGAATATTTAGACAGTACTGTAATGATTACAATATCTGTGTGATGCAAAAATGGGCTGAAGAATAATTTAAAAATTTAGTATCATGAGTTGGAAAGAATTGTTTGTAATAAATATTTTTCTGACCATTCTTAAATGAATGACAGCAAGAAAATTAGGTATACATTTTTGGATTAAATTTTGTTCAATATAGTATCTGATCTATTTTTCGTTTGAGTCCTTTCTTTGAGTTATTACAAAAATATTAATATATCACAAATATTATTACCAGGATTTTGTATCATTACTATAAAATTTTATTTAAAAAGGGTATCAGAGTATATATAAATTAATATATTTAAAAAATAAGATATCTAAATAACATTTATAATTTTGTATAGTTAAATGAAAAATTGGTGGAAACTGAAAATCAAGCCATGGCCCGAATTGGTAAATTATATTTAAAAATTTATATTTACCGCATTTTAAGCTATTAAAATCTGTTATTATTTTTAAAAAAATATATATTGTACATTATTTTCTATTAATATTCACTATCTAATTTACTTATACACTGTATAAGGGACATATAACTTTTTTTCGATTTTGTGTCTTAAATTTTATCTTTTAGAACGTTAATAGGGTATACTGTAGTTAATTTTTTTAAATCATGAATGAGAAATTGGGATAAATATTGCAAAAATTGAGTATCTGAATTTTCAGAGTTTGCTATCTTTTTGAATCGATTTTTTAAATTTAATATTGTCGAATGTTAGCACATTATATGGTTATGATGGTAAATTACAATGACCAAAAAATAAATAAGTAAGGTTAGGCAGGTTGTATATCTCTAATTTGAATCTCTTTATGTTTGCTTATTACTTGTACTTGATTTATTTGTAGAATTTTGACTATATTCTATTTTTAATATATTTCGATTTAGTTGAAATGCAGACATTTTTGGAAACGATAACTAAAGAGAAAGACGAAATCAAAGTAATATTTAATGTGCAGTTAATTAGTTAAAAAAAAATTTTTTAAAGATTGAAAGATTATTAATTTATTATTCATAAAATTCTTATAAATAATAATTCAGAATGTGTTCTTCGGTTGGATTTCTACAACTTTTGTTGATTGTGATAACCTAGCAAGCAATATTATTTTTATAATATCCTTATCGAATCCGTATTAATCCATGCTATTATTCCACTAATAAGTCTCTTCATTAGCTATTATTTGTAGTATTGTTTCGATGCTTAGAGGATTAGTCGGATTTGAATGATATAATCGACAATTAAATCTTTAGTATCTTGTTTGAGATATAAATATTTTTGATCGAAAAATTTTTTTTTAGAAAATGTACGAAAAAGCTGATTACGAAGCGAGCACTCTCAAAAAAAATTTCAACGATAAGGAAAGCGATTACATGCAAAGGCAAAGGGAGTTGGATCAAATTATGCATGTAAATTTAAGAAAAATATTTTATAAACATCTAAAGAATTTGTTTTTTTGTTGTAAAATTTAGAAAAGTAAGTATATTGTTATTTTTATTTTAAATTATGACATCTGGTATATATGTCTAGGGGGGAAAAATTTGTTTAAAAACTAATTAGTTAAACAAATTAAATTAAAATCTTTTCCAACAACTCTTTTTTCCTAGGAATACCTATTTCTCAAAGAACAATTAGTCCACCGAGACGATCCTTCATCCCAACCTAATGCCTTTTTATCCCCATCTTCTAAATCACCAAACAACAACGATTTCAAAAACTGCAATCAATTTAGCGTCGCGCTTCCCCCACCACCGCCGCCACCCCCGCCTCCTTTACCCTTCGATGGCTCTATATCTTCCCATTATAATCATATTTATAATATGAATAGCGGATTTATCAATAATTTGCCGACGGTGGCTAATATCAATAACAACCTCGTTAATAGCAAAGGCAACATTTTGCAACACCATCACCACCACGCTATAGTACCCAATATACCGCCCATTGGAAAAGGGCTAGATAATTCTTCAAACCCTAATAACGAAAGTTTTAAAAAATATATGATGGTTTTAATATTTATAAATAATGCTCAAAAATTTTGGCCGTGCTATTTAGAGATAGGCTCGAACCGGTTTTCATTTAAGTTTTTTTGCTTCCTGAAACATATTTTACGGTTTGCCAAGTTGGCCTGTAATTATTTTTGCGATGGAAATGCATTATTCAAGGTTTTAAAAATTCCAATGGATTATGCAGATTATGATATTGCCTAGGTAGTTATAATTACAGAAATTTATACTCAAGTTTGCTATATATTTTTTTGATATAGCCATGACTATCAAAAGGAGAATCGAAACCAAATACCGATTACCCATGTTAAATTGGATGCCACTCAAGCCGCGTCAACTGAAAGGAACTATTTTCAATGACCTGGAAGATGAAGCCTTATTAAATGTATAATATCCTTGCTTAAAAGAAATTCATCAAATTTTTTTTGGACTTAAAAATTATATGATTTATAGAAAACAACATTATTTTAAATCAATATCTATATGTTCACAACATATAAATTATTTCCTTACCTTGCTTATTTTGTGTAGAATAATAAAAAGTTATTATTTAAATTGCTAAATTTGAATTTTAAAAAAGTTGCTACAAATTATCTTTGACTTTTATACAGAGGAAATAACATTAGTTACTAGAAAAAAATATTAAAACTCTTCTTCCCACATTCGGTATCTTAATATTACAATTAATTGTGAACTAACAGGTGATAGATTTTGACACATTTGAAGAACTCTTCAAATTGGGATTGCAAAAGAATGATTTATCCAATCCTCTTAATAATTCGCATCCCGCTAGGGAGAAAGATGGAAATCTGAATAACATAGATTGCAACGGAAATAATTTGATAAGTAATGTGAACGGCATTATGAGTTATATGGGATTCGGTAAAAATAAAGGAAAAGATCTAAATACTGTATTGGAATCTACTAGGATAAGAAATCTGGGTAATTTTTAATTTATTTCCTCTTTTGTAAATGTTGTTTTTGAAGGAGGGGGGGGGGGTGTTGGTTTAATAAATGTAAAAGAATTTTTTTTCATTCAAATCTAATGTTCTATCATTTGCGAGCCAAAAAAACATCAGGATTAAATAAATAATACTGGCCTGCTCAGATTAAATTTGGGCGCGTTGACATACTTCACCCTCTCTACCGACCCCACTGGTTTATTATGTTTTATATTTATTTATAATCAAGCTATCACGCGGAGACGCTTGGAAATGGAAGATAATGAGATAATGAAGGCTATTAATAACCTGGATCTCAAAGTGTTAGATCTCGAAACTGTCGATATTTTGTTAAGAATGCTACCGACCGAAAATGAGGTATTTTCTTTATATGCCATTTTTTGTAAACATGCGTTATTTTTTAATATTTGAATTAGAATATAGAGCATTGAAATAACGAAACCAAAACTACACTTTTTTATTTTTCTAGTCCTATCATATAACATTATTAAGCTATTACTTTTATTTGAAAAAATAGCATTTTATAATAATTATATAGAGTAAGTCTATTCAAAAAGTAAACGTAAATTAAATTCTAATAAACATATATACAATTCGAATAATACTAATTATTCTAAAGTTTGTTTTTAAATATTAATATAATTGAGTATTTTAACGAAATTTTATTGTTCATAATTATTTTAATTTATATAAAATATAGAGTATATCTGTTTATTTTGATAATATTTTTACACCATTTTGAAACTTTTTATAATTTTACCTGCTTTTTTAAATTTTATTCTAAAATACATATTTCAGACCCTGTAATAAAGGTATAAAAAAATTAACATATTTGAAACCTTTTAAATTCAATATTCTCAAATGCGGGAAAAATGCGCCATGTTAAAATTATTGTTTGAAAAATGTTAAATATGATCGTACCAGTTAATTAAGAAATGAATGCAGTTTTTTAAATCCCTATTATATTCATATAATGTTAATAATTGCGAAGCGAGAGATTTATTTAATCAAACTTCCTAAATATACATAATGTTTAATAGTGAGAGACTTATTTAGCGAATTAAATCTATTGCAAGTAAACTAGTTTAGGAAAATTCTGAAACGTTTCTAAATATCTATTTTTTTATTCAATAAAAAAAATGAAATAAATCACTAAAAATTTCGCATAAATACCGAATAAATTCAAAAAAAAATCGCATTTAAACGGTTTCAACTGTAAATAGATATATAGTTCGTGTTCTCACTGTTAAATTGCATGCATTGTACTTAAGAAAAGAAATATCCAAACATTATAGTCAGATAAAAAATTTTATTTGATATTTGGATTAGCTCAACTCATGCTCCCTTTTTAAGGCTAAACGGCCCATGTTACTGAGAAAATTTTGCTAAATAATGATAATGAAATAAAAATTTAAAAAAACGAATTATTTGAGACCTAATTTAGAGCCAGATCTCCTATATATTTTTAACCAGGAGGTATTTGATTTATTATTCAATCGTTCAACCTTCTGTTTTAACATTTAAAAAGTTTTAAATAAATTCTGCGCATTCATTTTCAAAAAAATTTCAAAGAAAAAGGCTTACAAAACGTATGAATCAGAGGGAAAGCCAATCACTAAGTTGACCCCCGAGGACAAATTTTTGCAGCAACTGTGCAAAGTTGAAAGACTTCATAACAAACTTTCCATCATGTCTTTCATGGGGAATTTCCACGAAACTGTTCATCTAATAACGCCGGTATATATATATAAAATTAAATTTTATAACGAATTTGTTTTCATCATTTCGACTCAATCATTAATATGTCTATTAAAATTAAATTTATTTTATACAGTGGCGTCCTAAGGGACGGGGCAAACACGTCTTTTGCACTTTTAAATTTCATTTCCTAAAATATTTTCGATATCAGCTATAAAAAAGAAAATTTATTTTTAGTTAACATTTTCTATTTAAACACTCTTTCGCAGAAATATCGGCTGCACTGAATTTACCCGAGTAAGGCTACACTTACGATGGGCTCGATTTAGTAGATGATCGAATGTATTAAATCTTTTAATGCCAGCAATTTTTCCTTATTAATTTCTAAAAATAAAAATTTTTATATAATCGATGAGCTATTAAATCGCGTTCGCTGTGAATGCAACCCAACTTTTTTTATAAGAATACTTCTAGCGATATATTGTAAAATTACGAAAATAGCAATTTTGGATAACGATCTGTACATTTAAGATTTGCTAATTTTTATAAATAATCATATATTTAAGAATATATAACCATTATTCATCAAATCGTGTTTTTTTTCTCATTTTAGTATTTAAATATAAGTTATTTTGGAATTATTTGGGTAACAAAATGAATTTATAATTTAATATTTACAGCAAATTCATTCATTGATCGTAGCATCAAAGTCAATAAGGAATAGTGAAAAATTGAAGAAAATCTTCGAAATTATTTTAGCCTTCGGAAATTACCTTAATTCGTCTAGAAAGGGTGGAGTCTACGGTTTCAAAATACAATCTCTTGATACAGTACTAAATTGTGTTTTCCATATTTATTGGGGGGAGGAGATATATATTATGTTTTGGAGGATAAATTTACATATATTTTTAACTTTTCGAAACATAATCAAAAAAAAATTAGTAAAAATATTTCAAATCATATTACGATTTTATTATAATCTATCCATATTGAAGTATTTAATTGAATTTTTAGTTATCATGCCTATTTTATAACTCTTTAATTTATTTTTATAGGGTATATTTTTTATAAAACTGATTTCAATTAAATCAACTTTATAATTTTTTCTTAATAAAATTATCTAAGCTTACCATCCTGAAAGCCCCATCAAATAAAGAGACAAGCTTATTGCATTACATAGTTCATACCATCAACTATCATTTCCCGATTCTACTCACCTTCGACACCGAACTGAGATACATAGAAAAGGCAGTGGATGGTTTTTTTTAATAAAATATATTTATATAACATTTTAAAAAAGAATATCCTCATTATTTAACTAATTATCATATTGTTCCAATTACTACATAATGAGATATTTTATATTATATTGATTACTAATTCTCCCCAAAAGGCTAAAGATTAATTATTTTTTTAAAAAATAAAATTAGATTCTCTTGATCAAGTTTCCACAATGTATTTGTTAAATAGGATTTTTCACTTGTTTATGTCAAAATAATAATTTAAAATAATTTACTTTATTTTTTTCCCCATTTTTTTTTAACTTTTATTCCAGCTTCCTTAGAAAACATAATGACCGATGTCCACGAATTAACTAAAGGCATGGAGGATACAACCAAAGAATACAACGCTCGCAAGTCTAACCCGATAAACCCATCGACTAATTCCAAAGAAACCTTGCTCATCTTGGAAGATTTCCTTAGTTGTTCCCAGGATAAACTTAATAAAGCTAAGGTGGAAGCCAAATCGGCCGAGGTATTTCCTTTTTTAATGTAATAGAAATAAAAGTATTCAGGTTTATCTAAATGGAATTATATATTTTAAAGATCCCGCTTCAACAATTACATATCACATTGTTAGAGAAGTTTAACATCTTACATCCAAATAAATTACCATATAATTTGTTTTTTACAGATAAATTTACGAGTTGATTATTTTTAAATAATATATCACAATTTAAAACCTATAAGGAGAATCTTTATTATCAGGAAAGTACACTGGATTTTTAGCTTTTAAACGATTCATTAGTAAAACACTTATATGATTAGAGACTTGCATGGGCTGCCCAAAGGGTTCGGGTCGACTTCGGACATTGAAAACTATCGAACTCAGGTCGAGCTGTAAGAGGTAAACCGACCCAAAAATTAAATATTAGAATGCTCAATAATAATTTTGTTCATAGAAATGTCAATCAGAATCACATGCTATATTTTATCTTACACGAATCATTTCCCAAATCAATAAAAATTCTTTTTATTTAAGATGGCAATATGTGAATAAATATATTTAATTTTTTCTTGGATATAGTATTTAAACTTAAATTTCAGAATAATTTTAATCGGGTCATGCTGGAACAAAAAATATGTGCTTGGGTCGGGAAGTCAGATTCGGTTTTGCGGCCCGAAGGAATTACTTTGCAGAGCTTTATATATTATATATTTTGTTGATAAGGCTTAAAATATGTGGAAAGCTTATAAGTAAGGTATTCCCTTTTGTTGGGAAGATGGTAAAGATATAGGTGTGCATTGAGCGATTTGGCCAGGTCATCCCGATTTTTTCAGAATGATTTTCTTGTCCCTTCTCGAACGAAAAATATATTATTTATCCGACCCTATCCGAAATTTAAAGATGAGTAATTAAATCTTTTATCCCTGGAAATAATGATAAATTGATGTTATTTTTCCTTATAAAATTACGCATTTATATCTCTTACAGGATTATTTTTTGCCTAATCCCATTAAGATACTCATCGAAAATCTTTATATAATACCATCTATGAATTACTATTAAAGCTGTTATGAATATTAAAATTTTTATATATAAAAGAAAATTAAGTAAGAAAAGTATAGGATAGGTATGACTAAAACTCGCCTGACAATTTGGACTCAAATGATAAAATTATTGTCTGAGAAACGCTTCGTTTTTTTCCCTTATGGAAAGGCCAAATAAATTTTATTTTATATTTTATCCCCTGCTCAAGTCAAAATTACAAAACGAAGCCTATTTTTATCAAAATATACAAAAGAATAACAAATAGAATTAAGTACGTGTTTTTGTTTTAACTTTGAATTGAGAAAATACTGTTAATTATTGGAGAAAAATTAATTTTAAATTTACAAAAATTCTAAACTTTAGGTCCAATCCAAAATAAAATTCAGCCCAATTGGGTCGGACTTGCTTGTTTATCTCTAGAATATATAACTCACCATTTTTTGACCAATTCCTCAGAATATAGGTCCGCCAAGAAATGAACTGGATTTAGAAAAGGATTTTTACCATAAAATTTAATTATATATTTTATATTTTAAAATGATATCCTTTGACAGCATATAATATAGCATTTGGCCGTTTATTGCTAATTATAATGGTATTATTTATTTATTTTTTTACTATACTATATTAGGAATCTTATTACGAGGTCGTTGAATATTTTGGAGAAACATCTAAAGCCCTTCCTCCCAATTCATTTTTCCCGCTATTTTTACGATTTATTAAACAATTCAAGGTATTGTAATTCTCATTTTATATCTTAAGACAATAATTAAATTATTTTAAATCATATTTAATCAAATTTTGCCATATAATTTATAGGAATTTTTTTGCAAATTTTATTTATATAATTGTAATTATGATGCACTATACTATAATTTTTGAATTATGGACATATTGATACACAAAAAGATAATCATTGCAGAGTTTTATATTCGGCAGGTCAAAATGTTGTTGAATTTAAATTAAAAAAATTTTAAGAAAGTATATAGCATGGCAATGTTATGAGTTGTTTATTTTTTTTAAATTATCGAGATATGCTAATGTTGTGGTTTCAAGGTTTTCAACATGGTGTTTCACAACTATAAAAGTGAATGTGAACATAAATGGATTTCGATTTTACAATTCTAAAAGCTATTTTTATATAAGGGTGATAACTAGCGAATAAACTGTTACAGGATTTAATTCTTAAACATATTTTCCCGCGCATTTAAAAACTTGTTAAATAAGGGAACATACACCATAACTTTGGCAATATTTTGATTTCTGATCTTGCTTTAACCACCTGATACAATAGATAAATGTCTACATATGCTCAATATCTAAAAGTTCTCTTATCAACTGCCTTAGCTTGGGTAAGTTGTGCATAGAGCTTATTTAACAAATACTCATTTATGTCAGGATATTTTACTGATATTAAGCTCGGCTTATATTAATTATATCATGAAGATTGCAACTTAAAATTATAATATTTTAATAAATTAATTATTCGACATTAGAATATTTTATTGGTGTACGTTTCCTATAAAAAAAATTTTTTAATTTATATAGCAAGCTCAATGTGATAACGAAACGAAAATGGAGGCTAAAAAGGTTACAATATATTGCATCATATTTAAAACAAGTTTTATTTAAAAATTATTTTAGATTAAGAATGCAGGAGACAACAATAACAATAGTTTGCACAACGGCAAATCTATAAATAACAAGTCACGCTTAAAGGTATGAAGTATTCTGTAAATTCTTTAGTAATGACAACGCACTTCATGTAATATGTTTAATTATTTTAACCACGGGTTACCTTCAAGTGTTTTAAGCTTATCAGTTTCAGTCAGGTTAACTAAGTACGAATGTGAATGATGTTTATGCTAAGTCAATAACATGTTTTTAATTTTAACATTAGCAAAACGTTATATAACTTACTAATAAATCTTGAAGGGTAAATCGGTAAATAATTTGATGAAAAACCTTAGTAAATTAGTCCATCAAATGATGGGTGCTTACAAAATGACAATTTGATAGAATATTTAGTGCTTAAAACTATTGTAAGAAATATTTGCCTCCTATTTTTAAAAATTATCAAAACTACTATATTGATTTTAAATTATAACATTAGTTTCTTTTAACCTCTATAGCACTTATCATTTTAAACATTGGTATTTAATTTTTAATTTAAAATCTTTTAGATGATTAGATATTATATTTGTTTCATTTATTAATAGGCTATTTTATTAGGTTTTTTTTATCAAATTGAGGGTAATTTTCTGATTTACCCGTCATTTGACGGGGGTATATTATATAAAAAATATAATTGGGTGAAAATTAAGACCATTTTATTAATAGAAAATGAGCCGCTGCTTTTTATACATACATTAATTTTTTATAAAGGATTTAAATCTCCTTTATTTGTTTTAACTTATTAGAATTGGTGGGTTATTAAAAAACTTTAATATTACTGATATAATTTTGCAATAAGGTTTAATATAATACGCTTATTTAATTTAATTCTATACGTGGTCTAATATATTACAAATAAGGTTATAATAGATTGAATGCATAAATTTTATATAGTTAAACAATAAATGACATATAATAATATTTTATAGATATAATATAATGTGCGTGATCAGACAATATATCCATTATCATACCAAATTGTCGGAAATTTATATGATATTTCTACACATGCAAGAATATTTAACACATTTTTTAAATTTAAAAAATCTAATTTTACCGGAAATATATTTCAGCATGGTGTATGTAGAATAGATATATAAATTTCAAACAATTTGGTAATGAACTTTGTATTTTTAATTTATATGTTGGCAATATACGGAAGAACTTTGCCTGCTTACGCCCATTGTCGGTAAGTGACATATATAAATAAAAAATTATTTTATATTTGGGAAACGTGTCTCTAAATCATCATCATCTTCTAAAAAAATAATCATTTTGCTTGCCAAACTGATTTAAACAATCTACATTAATATGTTTGGCGATATCGATTTGAAAAACATCCAATATATTTTCACCTAAAAAAAATTAAAAACAAAGCAGGCTAAAAAAAATTCTCGGGTTTAGCAGCTTGATTTTATTGGACTCTTCAAATCATTCCTTTATTTATATTTAAGGATCTACAAGATTGTGTGTTTTTTAAAAATTATATATAATATATCTTAGAACGATCAACAGGGCAACAATATAATAATGAGCGAATTGAAACGCAAACAGAACAACAATAAGATCGTAATAACTCATAACCCTAATATTGCCCAAAAATCAGTGGAGAATGGCAATTTTGTCAGCAACGGTACAAATGAAAAAGAAATTTCAAATGAAAATGGGATCAACTACTCTAATCACGTTGCATCTAAAACGCAACTAATGAGCCAAGATCAAGTTTACCACGGGGCCTTGGAAGATATTCTCACTGGTTACATAAATAATATCTTTGGAGTCTTGTTTTTTTTTAAATTGTGAGATATAATACTAGAGATCTCAACAATGGTCATATGTTGGTGCCTTAAGCATCTAAATCAATTATTAGTGGCGCAAAAATTAAGCCAATCTTAAGATTGAAATGAGAATATATGGGTATTTATTATATAGCCTACCATCTTCTATGACTATTATATCTAATCTATATGTTTTTTAAAATAATAATATAACAGATTTAAAAAAAGAACCATTCCGCGCATCTGACAATATTCCTAGAAAATCTGCTATTTATATGGCCCGATAATTAAATCAAACCAATTTTTTTTTGTTATTTCGACATCAAAAATAATCTAGCCATTTATAAAGAATTAATAATATAATTATATTTGCATACAATGTATTCTCATTTATTCTACTTACTCTGCTTTATTATAAAGTTGTATTATTTATTTCAAACTATCAACAAAATTGATTTCCTTCTTATTGCTATAAATTAAGCTTTAAGTGTAATGTAACGTTAGTTCTAACTTTATCACCGTTTTTTTAAAAAAAATATTTGGATAATTCATCAATATTTGTAATACTATAATAGGGGCAACACAAAATTAATTTAGGTGTATTTTTTCTTCTTTTCCATTTTACAAAATATGTATTAAATGTCATAATTTATATAAGGAATTAACTCTTGGATAATGTTGAGTACTTGAAATATTTTATTGATATACTTGAGCAATATGTTTTTTTACCCTAAATATAATAGATATTTAAAAGATAAGGATTGAGCTTTATTTATTTTTTTAATGATCAATTTGTTTTATAACAAAATGTAAACAATTATAATTATCAATTTTTAATACGGTTCGGTTCTACAGCTTTAAAGCAAAAATATTTTTTAAAAAATATATCGTTCGTAAATCTATATTGTGATTATTATTTTTTTTATATATATAATTTTTAAAAAAAATTTAATATAAATTTACAGCAAATATTTTGATATTCATATTTTTATATAAATATACAATTACTATATATAAACGCTATTTATATGTTAATAATAAAAATATAATTTAAAAATATTTTAATTCAATGCGCATACTTTTCGTTTACAGATTGATGTCTATTAGAGACTTGCAAAATCTATTTTTTTGGCTATAACTCGCCAGAAACCAAGTGAAAAAATGAGTCCCCACCCCCGCAGCCCGCTTTTCTATAGATATCAGTGAAAGATTCTGCTACGAGGGTGGGGGGGGGGTTAAAAATAAATCACTTAATATTTAAATAATAAAATCTAATTTATAGGTTATAATCAGGTTCAATTAGGAACAGTCGAATGCCCCTTCTGTAATTACGACTAAATGGAATTAGGACATTATTTTAATGTTATGCTTAAAATTTAAATATTCAGCAATAACTTTGATAACTATTATTACAAAATATGATATGAAATATTAGTATTTCCACACTCGTGAGTTTTTTAAATTCTGAATTTCAGTTAAGGGTAGTATAGTTGGAGATACCCCAGTTAGTCCATGGGATCAATTATAAAAATAATATTAAACAGACAGAATTTTATTTATATTTTATCACATACAAAAAAAATTATTTATAAAAATTTATAAACCAAAAATATAATATCTCATAAACATAAGATTAGTCCCTTTTATAGAGAAAATAAAAGGCGCAATTATAAATTAAAATAAAATTGGCGCAAAGTAAGAAAATGTTTTTGCGAAAAGGAGTTGTGTTAGTTTTATCTTACATAGAGGTCTGCAAAGTATTTTTCGCAGCCCGAGCCCGACCCTAGCCTGAATTTAAAAAACTTTGTCCGAGCCCGAGCGCACATTTTTTACTCCAACCCGAGCCCGAAATTTTACAATTTGAGTTTGAAATATTATAACCTAAAAAAATTTATGGGTATTTATTCATCGCCACCATAAAAGTTAATTTGACGGCTATAATCTAATCAAGATATATAAATATATTAAGTTGCATTTTATTTAATTTGTAAAAAATATTATAAAAAAGTTAAAATACAATCGAATTTAAAAGTTATAAAAAATTTAACCATATTTTCATATATTTATTACCAGCACATCGACCTTTTCCATATATGCGTTTAATTTTCGATATAATTTATTGCGTATACCATCAGCAGTATCTGTTAAATTTCTAGAATTTGTCGTAGGATTTAATGATGCTTTTAATATTAAAATTTTCATATATTGAGCTAATTTTGCAAAATATTGGCAACAAATCCTTCCCATGGATTGTATAAAATGCTCAAATCGCGTCCACAAAACATGGTAAGCACCTTTGTACACTTTTTTTTTAATTTGGTACAGCTTTTGAGTTTTTTGGGATTAGTACCAAAAAGGCTATCAATTGTTAAATTGAGTCTTTTTAGTTTTTACTCTATTGTAAATATAGGCATTTTTAGTTGAGTTGTGCCTAATAAATTATATATATAAATTGCAACTTACATAATAATATATAAATGAAAACTTTTTCCAGACCTCAAATTTGCCATTGGCATTTTTCCTTATTTTATTATATTCATTGCTCTTAATCCTTTCACCAATTTTTTTATATTTGGCATCCATTTAAATAATTTTTTTATTATGAAAATATGAGGCTATTTAATTAAATAGATATTAGTAAAATATATTTTATTTTGATAGAATATGATTAAAGTAAAGTATGTAATAATATCGTTAACAATGCAATGTACTAAAATATAATCACATAAAATAGTTTCGTATATGGTTGTTATGTAAATTATAAAATAATAATTGAAAATGACATGTTATTCTGAATGACATTTGGAGGATAAAATTTCATAAATAAAAAATAATATGGTTTTATAATTTTTACATTATTAATTATAATGATTATAGATATTATTTTCGGGTCGGACAGCTCTTACAACCCGATCCGAGCCCGATCCCGAAAAATATTTTTTTTTAATGTCGGGTCGGGCTACGGACAGCCCGTGCAGTTCTCTAATCTTACATAATTGGGGATTAAACCTACCCCCCTATACTTTTCACAACTCAAATTATACCTTTGGATTAAGGGCGAAACCTAAATATCTAATCTAATTTATATTTACTGAACACCTTATTAAGGAACTCAAAAGTATGAAAAACCCCCTGATTAAAAGAAAACACAAAAACCATATGTTTTACTTTTAATGTGATTAAATCAAACAAAAGAGAGATCTAAAACAAACTTTATTTAATTTATAGGTATTTAAGACAAAACAAAAGAGGGATAAAAAAACTATTTTTAATTGAAGTGTATTTAAGGCTAAACAAAAGAGAGATAAAAAACTAGATTAAAATAAAATATGGAATAACATATTTTACAAATCCATATATAATCAATCAGATAAAAAATTCTAGTCAGATACCTAGCTTGATTTTATTAATGTGATGGCTCATGTCATCGCTCAGCAGGTCTATAATGCTTTTAATAATATCCCACATCAATAGATTCAAAAAATATAATATGTTGGATCGTATAAAGCCTATATAGGCTATGGTTAGTATATGCGATTTCCAAGAGTTAACTAAATAAACTAATATTCAAATTTAATTTTCTTGAGTAATTTACTAAAAAATATCTTATTTGATTTGTGTCAAGTGATGGATCGATAGAATCTTTAGTTCTGGATAATTTGTGATTTGTTGAAATGACTATCGTTAAAATACTTTATTAAAAGAAGAAATATTTTTAGTCATCTCATCAAATTAAAAACAAATTTCTAATCATCCACTATTTTTCATCTATATAGCTAGTTATTATATAGAATAGTTGGCGTCAATAACTTATCGGTTAATGAAGCCTTACCTAGTACATGAATTCAAATCAAGAATCCTTCGGGTAGCCTACTCGTGGTTAAATAATTCAGTGAAACTAAATAACGTAACCAGGTTTAACTCCCCACAGTACGGAAAAAGTTTTTTTTATGGCTTCCATGCCTTTCAAGTTCCAATTGACAAAAGCAAGCTGTCACTCACCTAGCAAATTAAGAACAGGTTAACGGATTTAGATAACATTTCAATGGACATAACCTAAACTAAGTTATCCATTAATTTTTTTAAGATAAAGATAAATATAGTGGGAAAAAAATCAATTCTAGCCTCTTCATCAGACATGCTGGTCCCCATTAACTTTCAAACCAATACTCAATTAGCTATGAAGCATTATCCACATCAGAAACTGAATTACCTAGTGTAATTCACACATCTTATCCAAAAGAATTTACTCCAGAGGGAGTGAGAAAAGCGATCTCAACTTTAAAAAAGATCATGCAGATGGCATGAGACTGTTGTACTTCCAAGACCTAACCTTCCATCTTTAAGCTCTCAAACTAAACTACTCTACTCAACAGTGTAACTATTCTTTGTAACAGGATCTGGTGACGTACCTATCTTAGCCAAACCAATTCTGTTTGGAGCAAAGCTAAGCGCCCTAATAAATTCAATAAAGACTTACACCTAATTACCATAGGTACCCTCTTTGGAATCTATGAGAAAGTCTCTACTATTCTCACTTCAATTCAGCTAGGGGGTATCAAAGGTGGCTGCTAGTCTGCCACTCATATAACCCGCATCTACTTTTAAGTAATCCACTAAATAAATATCTAATTAAAATCTATTTTAGCAATCCCTGTAACATAATAAAACGGGCTACCTTCCTATAATATTTTATTAATAGTTTCCCATCCTACTCCAGCGGCATCCTAGATCCTAAGCTGGTATTCTAACCCTTCCATCCTACAATATGGAGAATATAGGCTTTTCTCTTCAAAATAAATCTCGATCTTATTCTGGGAATAGACAATCTTGTAAAAAAATTAAAGTCAGCTACCAGTAGGATTTTCATCTCTGGTATATAGGTGATGGGATTATAAGCGGTAGTTCAAAAGAGGTAGTCAAAGTCTTAAAAATTTTACAAATGGATGGTCCAAACATAGGCCTTCTCCTAAATGTCTACAAAACATAATTCGGTCTGCTTATCTTCCAATATTCCAACTGTGACACCTTCAAAGAGATTATGGCCGAGGAACTAGCACATCTTGGCTCACCAATTGGTAGCCTTTTTTCTAGCTACTTCTAATAATTTTAACAATATGGAGGAGCACAACTTCTCACTTATAAATCTTCTATGCTAGGCGGCTAACGGCTATTTCTAAACATCCGGCATCTTTAAAATCATATGAATAAAAATAAAAAAATATATAGAAAAACCACTAATTTCAAGTTCAATTTCAATTCATGGCCTCCCTGTATAAAAGGAGGTATAGGGTTATGATCACCCATAGCCTTACTAATCAGTGATTTTATCTCGTCCAGATTGGCAAGCCCCAAAAAATAACTGATCACCTATCCTTGCCAGATACGCCGCTCGACGAAGCCTACATCATATGGAAAGCCTCAATCTGCTGTGAATATCAACAGCCTCCCATAAACAAAAGGATTGGGATAATCGAATGATTGCAAGGTCTTTTGATTACCTCTTTTCAACTTGTTACCTGAAGATCATGCCCTCCTAGCCTCGATTCTGATATGAATACCTAGACGACATTCTCTCTAAAAATCCTTACCTCGAACTGTCAAACCAAGAATTCAGTTCAGTCTCATATGAGTCGGCCAAGTGCAAGTAACCAGTAAGTCAATCTGGCCGTCATTGCCTCCAATGTATCTTTAGCACTCAATGTTCAATCCGACATATCAGATATAATGCTCTCATTAAATGGGTTTAACAGTCCGCGGGCTTTCCTGCTACTTTAGAACACCTGGGTCCCTTCACTGATGGGAGACAGCCTGATGGAATTACACAAGTTCCTGGAGAATGGCCGATTTCTAGCGTGGGGCCTTTCCTGCGTTAACCCCCCTCACACCCTTCAACATCAATAAGGATATTTTAAAATACACAGAAGACCTTAAAACTAATATATATG